TGATTTAACCCTTTTTGAAATGTTAGCAGATTTAATAATGTCTTTATTTTCATGATTGCCGATATTGTTGTTCACGGAATACGGTATGCAACAGTTAAATCTCGAACACGCATGCCACACGCATTTATCTTTTTCAAATTGATAAATTCAGACTTAAAACTCATGTTCTGTTAAGTTGTTCAAATTTTAGAATTTGAGATGTAAAGACCTGAAGATGGGATTGAACATGTCTGAAAATGTTAGTCTCCAGAGTTAATAAATATGCTAGAGTTTAAGGTGTGTGATTTTGTTCCTAGCCATATTCAGTTGGTTGTTGAGAGTGATTTCTCAGCTATTGAAGAATGATTAAAATTACAAATTGAGTGTTGTTAAGCTTCTTGCAATAATAATGTCAGATATAAAATATCAATAAAAAATGTTTTTCTTATATTTAATATATATATTTTTCAGTTGGTTTGATACATTCTATGTAACAGATTTTGCAAGAGCTGGTAGTATTGCTGAGGAAACCGTAACTCTTGATAAAGGACCTTTAAAACAGTTTTCCCATTCTTTAGAACCACATCTTCGTAAACTGGGAATGCCCACTTCTTTACAGAAAGGTTAGATATTAAATACTTAGTAAATATTTTATATGTAACAAAATATTTGAATTATATTTTTTAAGTCTATGAAACTAAATACATCTTATCTTTATTAATGTAGTCAATAGTATAAAATTTAAGTTATATATTTATTTAATTCTTCAATTCAGTTTTAATGTTTGAAAATGAAAAATTCATATTGAGTTACTAATCATTAATCAGAAATTGTCAACTATCAGCCAATGTTAGGCAGATAAACAGTAATTCAATAGATAATGTTTAATATTCTTTACGTAGGTGTTGTGACATTAATTAAAGATTTTCAAGTTTGCAAAGAAGGTGATGTTTTAAGTCCAGAACAGGCACAAATTCTGGTAAGAGATTTGTTTCTATATATAAATAGATGAATTCCTTTCTTACTGTTTTACATAATATACCTTGTATATGCCTACAAACGTATCTTCTAACATATTTAAGAATATTACTGGTATATCAAATGAAGAATTTAAGACTATAATTATAAGAAAGAAATTAAACTTAAAATTTGTTTTTGGGGAAACATGAAGTTGGGCATTTAATTTAATTAATTAACATTTATCTTTTTATTTTATGTAATTTTATTGTTTTTCATACTAATTTATCTGTATGCGCATTCTATTCTTGTGCTTATGTTGGTTTAAGTTTAATTTTTAAACAAAATTTGAATTTTTTTTTTTTTGAATATTTTACGGTGTTTTTTGATGTTCCCAATAATTAAATTTTTAATTAATTTATATAATTGAATTAATTATTAATTAATTCAAACATATCAGAAGATAAATGCACTCTTTTTATTCCAAATTATTATTATTATTTTTTTCCAGAAACTTTTAGGTAACCACACTGTTCAGTTTAAAATGTTAGTTCATAGTATTTGGACAAATGATGGTGAAATTGAAGAAATGAAACATGATTTAACAGATATTGTTAAACAAGATGATGATGATGATGATGATGATGATGAAGAAGAAGAAATGTCAGATTAAGTTATAATTATGTATAATTTACATATTTCATTAAAATTTTATTTTTTCTTGTATAAAAAGTTTTATTTATAAGTTAATTTTATTAAACCAGTCACACCATATTACATTAGCATTGTAATAAAAAAAATTGATTATTTTTGAAGATGAATAAGTATTAAATTTTAAAAATTTTTAAGAGATTTTCAATAGATCTCATACAGGGAAAAACTGAAGTCATCTATTCCAGTAATACATCAGTTTTCGTTGGCTTTGGTTATCACCAGTTTTGGTTTTCGTCAAATTTTTTTTTTTTTTTTTTTTTTTTGTCAAGGATTGAAGGTGAAGAAGACCTTCCACTTTATTTGTTACTTCGATAACCATCTGTATTGTTGTTTGACCTCTTTCAAAGTCAGTTAGGACCTTTCCTTGAAGCATAGTAAAAAATGTGCTTGAAGTTTAAGC